ATGAAAAACCAATAGTCAACGTTGTACTTAACGGAGAAAAGACGAAAACAATTCCACTGAAAAAGGGGACCAGATAAGGATGCCCCTTGTACCCTCTCCTATTTAACATCGTACTGGAGGTCCTAGCTAACAACATAAGACAAAGGAAAGATATTAAAGGTATTCATCTGGGGAAGGAAGAGGCGAAATTATCATTATTCACAGACAATATGATTCTATATATCGAAGATCCCTTAAAATCCACAAGCGGAGTGTTGGGAGCAATAGAGGAATATGGCAGGGTGCGGGATACAAAATCAACAAATAGAAGTCTTTTGGACTGCTCTACACATCAGACAAGATCACAGAAGAGATGATTAAAAAGGTAGTACCTTTTACAATAGCCAAGCATAAATTGAAATACCTAGGGATATACCTGACTAGAAAAATGAAAGATTTGTATGAGGAAAATTTTAAAACACTACTACAAGAAATCAAGAGTGACCTCAACAAGTGGAAGAATATCCCATGGTCGTGGATTGGCAGATTCAATATAGTAAAGATGCCAGTTCTGCCAAAGGCACTATATAAGTTCAATGCTATCCCGATATGAATACCACCATCCTTCTTCAAAGAATTGAAAAAACTGATTACCAACTTCATATGGAGGGAGAAGAAGCCCAGAATTAGCAGAGAACTCCTCAAGAAGAAGGACAAAGTGGGAGGGCTTGGTCTACCTGACTTTAGCACGTATTATACAGCCACAATGGTCAAAACAATGTGGTACTAGTACAACGACAGATATTCAGACCAATGGAAAAGAGCTGAAGACTCAGAAATGAAAAAATTAGCATACAGGCAACTGATCTTTGATAAGGGCCCCCAAAATATTAAATAGGAAGCAAATGCCATCTTCAATAAATGGTGCTGGAAAAAATGGATATCTACCTGCAGAAAAATTAAGCAAGACCCTTACCTCACTCCATGCACAAGAATAAACTCAAGGTAGACCTTGAGACCTTGAGATAAAACCCCAAACAATTAGGGCCATTAATGAAGGAATGGGACAAACAGAATCTTGACACAGGGAATACATAGGCTACTAGAAATAGGGAAGGATACATATATAGAAGAGTCACTAATAGACAAGTGGGATATACTGAAGATAAGACACCTATGTACATCAAAAGTATTCACCAAGAGAGTAATAAGAGAGTACACTGACTGGGAAAACATCTTTAGCAATGACACATCTGACAAAGACCTTATTACTAAAATCAACAGTACTTTGCAAGCTTACAATAAGAGAAAAACTAATTGCCCACTGAGGAGGTGGGCAAAGGACCTGAACAGAAGTTTCAGAGTCTGAAATCTGAACGGCCAATAAACATGAGAAAATGTTCCTGATCATTAGCCATAGAGAAATGCAAATCAAAACAACTATGAGATACCACCTAACACCCTCAAAGATAACCCAATTCAAAAAATCAGAAAGCAGCAAGTGTTGGAGGGGCTGTGGTGAGATAGGAGCTTTCATCCACTGCTGGTGGACCTGTAGGTGAGTACAGCCACTATGGAAATTGATTTGACAATTTCTAAAACAGATGGAAATTGAGCTACCATACGACCCAGCAATCCCCCTACTGGGCATATACCCAGAAGAGGCAAGAAACAAACTACAGCCAGAAATCTGTGCTCCAGTGTTCACTGTGGCATAGTTCACAATTGCAAGGAGTTGGAAACAACACCAATTTCCATCAACAGAGGAATGGATTAAAAACTGTGGTACAGACATACAATGGAGAGCTATGCATCGCTAAAAAGCAGTGATGAACGCATGAAGCTTATCGCCGCATGGGAAAAACTGGAGAAAATTATGCTAAGTGAAGTAAGCCAAGCACAAAAGGATAAGTATAACGAGTCCGCTGAGGTAATTTTATATAAAAAAGAAAAGAAAGAACAGAAAAGTAAATACAAAAGGGGCACAGAGGAAAAGCACTGTATACAAACACTCCAGGGGTGAGGTCCA